AAATTTGTATGTGAAGTGTTAACAAATATTGCTTATCATGCAAATGTATTATGTACCTTTGTTTATGTGAACATACATACACATACATACCTACATATACTGGTTATATACATATATTTACATTAAACGATATTCATGTATGTACATACTGACACAACAATCATACAATAAAGTTCTTTATATCCTTATATACTACTTATGTATATATGTATGTATATACATATGTATTTAATATAAGTACATATATTTCATATAAATATATATATAGCCGCGTTTTACAGGTGTAGGTGTGTAATTGTTGTAAAAAAAACTTACCAATAAAACTTTGTCTGCTAATTTTTCTAAAAAAAAATTTGCAACTAAGAAATACATTTAAAAAATTTTAAAGTGTAACAAGGCGTACCTTTATGGCAGACAGACATATTAGGAAAAACAACTTAAATGTATATAAACATAAATGTATATTAAAAATTATGGCAACTAACAATAGCTAAAATATTTATAAATTGTAAAAGCAACAAAAAAGGAGAACACAAACTGAAGCAGCAGCTGAAGAATGGGGTATATTTCCAGCGAAAAAAAGGTAATTGGAAATGTATTGGTGTAATACTTAGCTTAAAAACAAAAGTCGGCTTCTCTAAATTTATAAATTGGCAAATCTTTGGAATAGAAATTATGGCTTAGAAATATTTTTCCAAAACCAAACTCATTCGCCTAAACACGCAAAAAAAAACAAACGCCATAGGGGTATTCTCTAAGTCCTAAGGAAAAACTTTGCTAATCGTGAAATCCGTACACCGTCCTAGGGTTTCGCAAGTCTTAGAGAATATCCCTTATATGTTAATAAAAAAAAAAATGTTTGCATTGTACAATACTGTCACACTATAAAAATAAAAATAAATAAAACTAAATGCATACCTACATATTTATATAGAACAAGGAAGAAAAAATTCAAACAAAATTTTGATACCATTTAGTATTTAGACAAACAAAATAAAAGCGAAACGCTCGAAATTTACTACAGCCGTGTAAGATTAACCTAATAAATACTTGCATAAATATTTATTGAACAACAAATGCAAATAAAAAATACCAATCAAATATTTATGTATACATGTGTGTATATATGTAAATGTATACAACTTTAAGCATGTACATATGTACAAATATTTATATTCCAAAGCCAAAGGTACAGTATGTATGTATGTATATCAAGAAGAATATTTTATTTATGTAAATGTTAGTGGCGGCAGTGTGCACGAAATTTTTTTTGCATTTACTTTCATTTAATTTCGTTCCAATTCCATTTTTTATATTTCAGTTTCACTTAATTCCGTTTTAATTCCATTACATTCCATTTCAGTTGGGTTCCACTTTGTTCCATTCCAATTTCGCTCTGTTGCATTCATTATCTTTATTTCCAATAGCAATTTTGCTTCTTTAGAAAGCGAAATTATGAATTTATTTTGTCTCGTTTCCACTTCATTCCAAAATGTGAGCTTCGATACCAATTTGTTTTCCACTCGAGCTTTAATGGTTCTTGGTCAAATTTGTGTAATATTTTTAAGCTACTTAACAACGACTGCATTAAGTGAACTTAACGATAGTATTTTCCCTCAAAGCATTCATTTTTCCATGTGTTTTGTATATTTACATATGTATAATACTATTTCTATGCCACTGACTTTAGTTCATTACCACTTTGTTACAAACATTCAACTTTTAAAACTGTTTTCATTTAACTAATATTTCTTTCCAAATTCTCTTTACTTTTAATTGAATTCCAATTTAACCCGTTGCAATTTCATTTTTCTTTTGGTAAATAAGGTAAATTTTAAGATTTTCGAAGGTGATTTCGATTAGTTTTCTATGAAAATCCTCCACCATTCACTCCTTCCTTACCTTCCTTTTATTAACTCGGGATGTAACTATGTAATATTGATGCGCCTAAAAGATGCAGCGATTTCTATTCTCAAGTTACATACCTGATGACAGTACGAATGGCAATTATAATAGGGAGGTTCTAGTTTTTTAAACTATAATTTTATTCAACATCATGATATCTCTTTTTCTCACTTCGTTCCAAATGAGTTTTTGGCATAGGCTTATTAGGATTTTAGGCTTTTTTTTATTTCTTCTCACATTCATTTATGTTTAGCTTTCTTGGCTTGAATTTAAAAATAACATGCAACACTGTTCCATTTCAACTTTTTGCGTTCCAATTCCATTTCGTTCCGTTTAAATTTTTATTACTTATTTTAAACGACTACATTTCCTTATTTAGGCATATTTTCCGAGCATTTCGTTTCAGTGTCGGGAAATTTTATATTTTTCATTTCATTCCATATGCGCACTGCTGCTAATAATCCAATTTTCTGTACAAAGCACTGTATTTTAAATAAATTTGGTTTGTTGACTAACAGTGACCACAACTCAACTGGAGAATAGCTCATCAAAATGTTTGTGCTGTTAAATGCTAATTATAAAAAATATATACATAAATAAATGAATAAATTGTCTATAAAATGTCTATGAAAAATTTTACACATTCATAAATTTACCTATACACATACACATACAGAGCATACATACATATACATTTACGATTACATATGAACAGAGAAATAGTGAAAAACAAAGAGCGTAAAGAAACATATGCATTCAAAATAAATGTAACCCACCAATGTATAAAAACAAATTTAGTATAGATAAATAATTTAAAAAAAAAGAAAATAAGTATGTATGTACTAAAAGAGCACTGTACAAACTAAACAGTCAGTAAACTATGGAAATTTTTAATCAGTCAATAAACTATGGAAATGTTAAATTTAAAAGCAAAACAGGATACATATTTGTTAAGTATTTCCTAAAGCATTTCAAATACTTGTGCAATTTGTTCGTTTTCTTGTTTTGTCATGTAGCAGCTAAAGACTTGAGTTAGGTAAAATAAAAATTTGTATTACATGCATACATATGCTCCACAGATACCGTTAAACTCGTATAAGTTCAATGTAAATAAAAACAAATCAGAAAAATTATATAAATGCCCCAACAGAAAACATATAAAAAATGAACTTGGATACACATTCATACATGTTTACAGTCATACAAAGAAATAATTGTAATAAATTTGCAAAGAGATGCATAAAACATGGAATAAAGTACGCTGAATATGAAAATATTTGAACAAAAATTTTATGGTTTTATTTTCGGTAAAAAATTATTTGCCGCATCCAAACGGGTAAACAAAGGCAAAATCGAAACAAAAGTTTAGAGGTTTCATACTTTTCCATTTATACTAATTTTATGTCTTACATTTTCACTTCGTTCCATTGCGTTCCGCTCCCATTTTCCGTTTCATTTCCTTTTTATTTCGTTTCATCCCCAACTTATTTCGTCCGGCTATCCTTTTTTCTCGTTTCATTCGAATTGTGTTGTGTTCCCTTTTCAATTCGTTCCAGTACATTTTAATTGCTGTCTTCATTCCTTTTAACGCATTAAAAGCTTAAGGCGATTTTTAAGTTTTAAATAGATTCTCACGGACAGCTGGTATTGAACAGACGTTTCATGTTGCCAAGCCATAGGCATGAACTGGAGTTCTTGGGCCTCAATCAGATTTATGGATTAATTAAAATTTCAATAAAGCACATAAGGCGTGGCACGATGTTTCACGTAGAAAGTCTCGTGTTTCTTTTCCCCCATCTTAGTTTCGACTACGTTCCATTCCAGCTTCCATTTGTTACTTTTTCTTTGATGCTTGGAATTTTCCCTTTTCTGTGCTATGATTTTAAGTTGTGTATCTTTAAAGCTCTTTTATTTAACAATTCACTATATAGCGCTAAATGTTTTTATTTATTTCTTCATATCCATCAACCGTAAATGGTACCGCAAAAAATTTGCAAGGCAAAAAAAAAAGAAAAATTCAAGGCGAATTAATATAAGGTGATAGCAGGAGTACAAAAATAAAAATTTACATGTATTTTGTTTTTGCTTTGGCGGCATAAACTGTCAAAATCTGTAAGAGTGTGTGTAGAAATTCAAACAAAATTTTTCAATTTGATATCAGAAGCCGTGCGGCGAAACACATACACCAAATCAGCTGAGCTAGTAACACCACCTATACTATAGTAAATTCGCCTTGGAAAAATTATTATTTAAAACTATCAGACATTATATTCTATGTAACTATGCTGATTTCTATTAAATACTACCATGCACCAATATGAATACCTTTTTATGGAACTTCGCTACTTTTTGAAGGTGATGGAATTTTTTCCGTTTTCCTCCTGCTTCCAAAAAACATCCCTTACAAAATCTTTAATAATTGACTGAAGGCGAATTAATATAAGGTGATAGCAGGAGTACAAAAACAAAAATTTACATGTATTTTGTTTTTGCTTTGGCGGCATAAACTGTCAAAATCTGTAAGAGTGTGTGTAGAAATTCAAACAAAATTTTTCAATTTGATATCAGAAGCCGTGCGGCGAAACACATACACAAAATCAGCTGAGCTAGTAACACCACCTTATATAAATTCGCCTTGATTTGTCTCATGCCTTTTGAATAGAAAACATTTTTATTTGGATTTTTCTCCTACAATTTTAATATTAATCTGCATACCACTAGGCACCAACCCAACTTAAACGCTGAAATCATTTGTCGCCCCAGCAATGCCACTTCACTCAACATTTTTCACCCAGTATTGTAACTTCAACTTTACAGTTTGTTTTATTTTTAAATTACTTTCAATTGCGAGCAAAAAATTACGAACAATTTTTTTTTTTAATTATTCGGTTCAAATATCCGCCAATATTAACGTTTGATATCCAAGACTAAAAAGTGAAAGCACTAAATTAAACGTCCGTTAAAATTCCAATATCACCATCCACATTTCCGAATCAACAGAAGAGTGCATTGACATTCGCAATTCTACACCAGTCAGCTCAAACTCGCGGAGAAAATTTTCAATTTTTATAAACACTTTGAAACTCAGCCAGCATATGGAATCCATAGTTAGAGCCCACCAGCACGTTAGCATCAATTCGTCGACATCCGGTGCGTACAATGTCGTTTGCAAAAAATGCATTTCCTCGCCTAAATTCGCACACTTCGATGATTTTTTGAACCATAGTCATGCTGAGCATGGACCCACAGTGCGACGTGTGAGTGGTAAATATATGGAGAGATAACTGTATTGTAAGGAAATTTTGCTTTTTTCCGCAGAGCGCGCTCTCGATCATAACGGAAAACACACTTATATCGGCAGGCGGCAGTGTAAGTTGTTTGCTCCAAGCTTTGCATAATCACTCGCTTACGTTTTGTCCACCTTTTCGCTTCCCCTTTGCAGATTTCCCACCTGAGCACGGGCAGCTGCCTTAGCACAACCCTCACCGGCTCTTCACACTCCAACGACTTGTCCACCACAAACACTGACAACGAATTCGACTTGCGCACGCTCAAGCGGCAATGCATGCTAGACGTCATTGAGCTGCTAAATAAATGTTTCTGCATCTGGCATCGTCCAACTCGCGCCTCCGTGCCGCGTAGCGAACGACTGCACGCCTATCAGCTGGTGCTGATGAGGCTGCGCGAGCATCTGCCCTTCGCCACCTTTCGCGATGCGCGCAGCATTGTGCGACAAATAATACGCGGTTATCTGCGCAAGCAGCGGCTGAGTGAAGGTGATGTCATAACGCACAGCGCGCGCCTAAACGTGGATCAACACGACGACGACGCTGACAACTGGCAGCTGGAGCGCCAACTAGATGCCATAAAATCGCGCATCATTATGGATAGACTAGCCTTTTTGCGGGGCTGTGATGACAACGATGTGGAGGAAGTGAGTATGGGCACTCCAAATTACTAATTCCATTTTCATGTGAAGCGCTTCCCAAAATCCACAGCTCGTCGCCGACAAGCTTTGCTCCTTCTGCAACATTGGCTTCCACAATACTGAGACACTGTGGACTCATATGGTCAGCGCTCATCTGCCTGCGCACAAACAAGATCGCAGTGGCTGCAGTGCAGCTGACACCATGGCCACTGAGTCCACGCTTACATTGAGCCGCAAGCGTTCGCGTAGTCATATTTCACGTTCGACATTCGAAAATAGTACGGATGTCACACAGCAGTCGTACTCGGGCTCGGAGCCCTCTTCCTTGAGACGTAGTCGCCGTAGAAGACGAGGCATCTGGCGGAATGGACAACGCGTGCGTTCGAAAAATAAGGTGGTGGGTTTGAAGAGGGTAAGTCCGACTGATTGACCGAGAGGCAGATGCCTTAGGTTTGTGTTTTCGCATTGCAGATCCGGCAACGTCGCCGCACGCGAAGTAAAAGTGGCGCAGACGATGTAAGTGTGGCTTCGCAGGTAAGTGGTTTAGATAGCTTAAGGCTTGACTCTAGTAGGGATACATGTCCGATTCGGTTTGATTATAACGCAAGGTACATCCAGGTCGATGATAAGAAAAGAGCTTATAACAGCTTGTGGACAACACGTCGCTATATTCTGAGTAATTCGCGCTCTGAAAGTGTACATTATATTACCAATAAATCTGACAAGTTTCTATATAGTCAAGCCAGAAGTTGGAATTTCACAGCCTCAGACGCTGCAGCAATTTCCGGTTAAATTTCCAACATTTTTAAAATAAACCTCAAAATAGAGTTCGGCAGTAGATTTTCCAGCTTTTTCAATGCCTTCCCTGCAGCTTAATACATCATACTTTCCCTTTTCTCCCGCCGCAGCAATCGAATCTCTACCTCGCCGACTATAGTGACAAATTCCTAGAGGAGTTCATCGATCTCTACCGCCAGCAGGAGTGTCTGTGGCAACGCGACTCCCGCACATATCGCAACCGCAGACTCAGAGCAGCTGCCTACGATGTGTTGCTCAAGAAATACTGCCAAGCGCGCCAGGTTTCTTCCGTGAGCCTCAACAAAATCAAATCCCTTATACGCCGCATGCGCAACTACTATGTTCGCCTGCAACAGCCAAATGCTAATCCTTACCGCAGCCACATTTGGCAACGAATGTCCTTCATCGATCAGTGTCGCACGCCACCGGCACGCAATAGGCACAGCAGCAAAAGCAATGATATCCGTCATACGGACTACGATTGCACTGTCTGTCTGCGTAGATTCAAGCGCGCCAAGTCTTTTGCTTCGCACATGCTGAAGACACATCCGCCCACTGAATGTCCACCCTGTAGCGAGACCTTCAACAATGCCGATGAGCTGGTGCGGCATTTGCTCTTCATACATCGCAAGGATACGGACTGTCCACTTTGTCAGGATGGAGAAAATGAGTGGAAGTCCTCGGCTCATCTCAACAAACACTTCTTCGAGCATCGGTGCCCCAACTGCGCTGAGATGTTTCGAGATATCATCAACTATCGTCGTCACCGCTCCAAGTGCCGCAATATAAATCGATTCCGTTGTGAGCACTGCAGCTCGAAGTTCACCAGCACTATGGACTTTCGGCGTCACGCAAAAGCTAGCCACCAAGATGAGCGGCCATTCAAGTGTAATGATTGCGAAACCACCTTCAAGTATTTGGCGCCTTTGGCTAAGCATCGAAGACTACACAAGCGAATGAAGCGCCGCTATTCGGCGTAGAAAAAAAAAACTTAAGGTAACAAGAGGAATGTGTGCAAGTTCAGGACCAGCGCGATTTCTATTCGTTCATTTCGATATGTCAAGTAATTGTTGTAAAAGGAAATTTTAAGTTGAATTAAAATTTCCCATCACTGAGAGGATAATGATGAGCTTAATTCTTTGCTAAGAAAAGGACAGTAACAAAAGTCTGTTTTTAATACACTTCCTTAGATTTCAGAGGTACATAGATGACTTTTTTGGAAGGTTCGAGAGGCAAGGATCGAATGTCCTGTTTTGAGGATCTTGAGAGAGCTATGGGATAGGGATCCAACTTCAACCCGATCTTCCTCCTAAATCTATAAATTTGCAAATTTTGGCACAGGGCAATGCAGATAATTATCAATTTTAAAGATATTTTCTGTATTTTTCTAAGGTATCTTAACTCGTTAACCAAACTTAACATTGCTTAATTCACAAATAATAACAATTTAACAAATAGAGTGGCAGATAGTCTATGTCAGCTCACTTTGGATTCAAAGCCAGCTTTTATCAATCTTTGCCTGCCTTCGCCGATGTAATATTTTACCCTTATCTTCAACGAGTTCAGCTTCATCATAGTCATTATCTATTTCCTCGCCAGTAGCGGCACCACTATTTTCAACACTTTCAAGAATTCCATCAATGATTTCGTCCCTGTCCTCGTCACTTTCAGTGCTTTCTCCGCTAAGAATTCTAGCAATGATCTCATCGCTATCCTCATCACTTTCAAAGTTTTCCCCGCTAAGAATTCCATATTCGTCACTTCCAATATCTTCGTCATCTTCGTCACTTCCAATATCTTCGTCATCTTCGTCACTTCCAATATCATCGTCATATTCGTCACTTCCAATTTCTTCGTCATATTCGTCATATTCGTCACTTTCGCCGCTATCGCCATATAAAATTTCATCGATCATCTCATCAATGATTTCTTCGAAGCTGGCTTCTTTCGATGATTTCTCGTTGCCTACAACGTCGGCAGCATCCCTCATGCGCACCACGTTGCTGCGATCTCTCTGGGCTGAGCAGGGACCAGCGTGTAAGAAACGAATTGTTGGAACTTCTAGATATGAAAAATTTTTGTTAGAACTTGTCATGATTATGAATTCATTGACTTGAGTTAGAGGGACTAAATAGAGAATCCGCTAAAAGGAAGCAGAAGGCTACGAGGGACTTAATTGTGCTCTAAGAACTTTATAGTGTATTGGAGATTCTTAGGAGCCCACAAAATTTCTCCCGATTTTTCTAAACCCTCTACTAGAGGGCCTCTAGCCTTCCACATCGTTCCCTTCCATTTCCATTCCATCCTTTACTTACTTCTTCCCATCGACTGTCGCAACAACTTCGAACATCTGATCTTATTGTTGAGCACACAAGGTGAGGACGCTGTCATTTGCTGTCCATCCACTAGCGAACATACTGGCCAGTACAAGCGTGGGCATATCTTTTCCTCGCATAGTGGCTTCGGTGTAGTGGGCACAGGTAGTGTCACAGCTTCATCTTGCCGCTCGACTAAAATGCCTTCGGCCGTAACGAGAGCTGGGAGACTTACGGCGGCAAGGATCAGTATAGAGTAGATTGTACACATCTTTTTATTCCCTGATTTACACTTAATAGAATTACAATGGATGTAGTTTCTTAAAATTTTATAGTTAATAGTCGCTTAAATACACTACGTATTGTGATATATCGTTCGCCGCATTCAGTGCCTTATAAGTTATTTACTTGAAGGTTAAACACGACATTTTTTCCAAACGCACCGAAACTAAAAGTGTGACAGCAGCTGTGCAAATTGCGGTTGTTCTTGGAGTAGGTGGCTAGGTGACATTGTTGCTTAGTGCGTGTACGTATTGTTTGCTTTAATAACGATGGAAATGTGTAGCAAATACAAGCAAGGTTTTAACTATTTGAATTAAGAAAGCATGTTTATTGAGTAGCGCCTACAGTCGACGTTTGGCCTTCAAAAGTTCAATTGACTGAGAGTAGATAAATGACCTTCAAATAGTTTTTCAAAGTTCAATCTACCAGATTGAGCTTCTCTGAGAAATATGTGGTTGTATCTGAAACTCTGGAGAGTCAACCTAAGCAGGCTTCACTTGAAGCTCTTGCTAGTTTCGAACATGTCTAACAAACTTTTTTGGTTTGCTAAGCAAAGTGCAAATCAGTCAGTTAAGTTGGATTCGGTCCCAAGTTTCTGAAGTCTTACAGCTGAGCTCGAGCTCGCTAGTGATGCAGGTAATGAGCGAAATTTGAGCTGCTAAAATGGTATGAGATATTCACGAGACGAGATTTCAATCAATTGATTGATACGATGGACCTCAGATAACTAACTAGCCCGGTAGATAAAATTGAGGACTTTGTTAAGGGGTTACATTTGGACAAGTCCCGCAGATATTTATACACACACCGTCCTCCTGTTCTTGATTAAAGCTGCACAATTAAACAGAGGGCGCTCATTTTAACTACTTCTGCCGTAGTCACTGTGTGCGATACCTAGCCTTCCGGTGTGTGTAAAGCAATAAGCTTGGGCGCAGTAAGAAATGCGACGATGTATCTGAGGCTTCGCATACAAATTTAACTTTCGTATAAGGTCATTCCAGGCCCTGTTGATTTTTGCTCTTTTTGGAGCTCAGCGTTCTGCAACTTTTAAGATCCGATCGCTCGAGATAATCGACGCAGCTGCTTCTAAATAATGATTTTTTGGTATTAGGATTCCCTTCCCTTGGACGGTCTTTTTTCTAGAGATATTTCGATGAGCAGTTGCCGAAATTAGATCTATCGAGAAGTGGGTGTAGACGATATAAAATAGGATTCTGCATTTCGTAGCCCACTATTATTTGGTCGTAGATAACGCCGGAGCCGTAAAAGCAGCCCAATTATGTATCTAACGAGACGACCATGTGCCTAATCCTGAGGAAATCACTAACACTTATATTCGGAAAACGCTTGAGAATTTTGGCAGTAGAAAGGACCGTCCTCCTCAAAGGTAACCCGAACTCCTTCTTAAAACCGTTTTTATATCAGTTATCGAGTATATCGAGTTCTACATTGTAAACAGATTTAGGTGAATGAACTCCACCGTTGTCTTATTTACCAAAAGCAGGGAAGTCAACTTGACTAGACCCACATTGGCAGGGGCAGAAATTGGGATCTCAGAAGAGGCGAAGTTCCTAGAGGTAACTCTGTACTCAATTGGCACTCACATCGCTGGAATGTTGCCAACAAGGCTACAAGCGTAACCTACTGGTCTTTCAATAAGGTCGTGAAACCCGTTGTTACATGTGCGGCACTGGCCGGGTGGCCAAAAACAAAGCAAGTAAGTGAGGGTGACACCTTGAGCAAGCTACACAGCTTGATCTGCGTGGTCGTCACAGGAGGTATGCGCACCTGGCGAACGGATTTCCTTGGTGTAATTACAAGCATTCCTTCTCTGTCTAATCTGATTGGAAAGAAGGCCTGCTATAGCACCAAAAGTATGGTATACCGATGGATAGAAGATGGACGACGGGAGTACTGAGGCAGGCGTGCTTGGACCAAGTTCCAGAAAATTCTGCAGAGATTGTCTGAGGAGAAGCACAATCGGGATCACAATAAATATTATGTCCGATAGTTAGACAGCAGCATTAAAGGCCTTAGACTCATTTAGAATGACATCAAGGCTTGTGTACAGTTGTAAACTCTTCTAGGAGCCCATAATAGCGTGACGCTAGGGTGGGTCCCTGGGCATGAAGGGTTCAAAGGCAACAAACGGACTGACTATCTAAAGCATATACCGCAGAACTGCTTAGGAGTTGAGACAATCAAAGAAATTCATAACTCCTTCCGGGAGGAACTCAAAAAGACTCCTTGAACTTAGCCAGGAGGCTGTTAGGAGTCTTACAGGCTACCTGACAGGCACTGCAAGTTAAGGTATCATTTAAACGAAATGGGGCTTCCTGTAGAGACGGACTGCGGGTTTTGTGAGCTGGTGGAGGACACCGCAGAGCATATTCTCCAATGTGCTTTATTTCTTAAATATCCTAAGGTTGGAGTCGCTACAGTTAGGGTTTAGCACAATAGACCTTTTTAGGCCGCAGTGTGAGCATACCCGACGTAATAATAATAATAATAAAACTACATTGTGTAGTGAGAAACGGTAACAACTATTTACGCCTTCCGTGGCACGAAGAGAAAGTTTTGCTAAATAAAGGTTAAAAATGGGCGAGCAGAACCCGACACCCCTGAGGTAATACCTAAGTTGCCACAGCCGAATTCGAGTTAACTTCGCCACTTTCGAAAAAAAAAAAAATTTTTTTGTTTGACTAAAATGTTATTTTTGTTCACTTCTTTGCACATAAATTGTTTGTTAAAAATTCTCCGCTTTTTGCGAGATCTCTTCATTATCTTATCCATTAATTGCCTACGCCTGGCGACGACACGTCTGCCACGATTTCCAGTAGCTGTTCCTGCGGTATTTCTTTGATTGCACCTGCCAGCATGCAGGAAACGTATGCCAAGGCGTGCTAAAAAGGAATTATTATTGATATACATATATTCGTATATATTTTTACTTCATATATGTATCTGCGTAGTAATTTTTACACCTCATGAATGCTTACAAAAAGTGCCCCTACTGCTTACAAAAAGTGCCCCTACAGTGTTGCCGTTGAGAATTTTCAGAAAGTCGCAAAACAAGTGTCATTGACGAAAAAATGGTAACCATATTATTTTAGCTTTTCTTTACTAGTAAAAGAATAAATCCGTTGAATTTAAAAAGAAAATAGCTGGACAAGCTTTGCACAAAATAAGGTTGCAAGCATAGACATAAATTTAGTTGTTGAAAGGAGAAGAGTTGCATTTCCTTTAAAAGTTTTAAATTATGAATTTTTTCGTACTTACAAGAAGAAATATTTTTTAATAGCATGGTTCGGTTAACATTTCCTAAAAAAAGTCGCACATAATTTTGGAAAAGGGTCAAAAAATTAAATTTTCAAAAAGTCGGGTCAAAGGGAAGGGGCGCTTAAAAAGGGTCAAATTGCCCCTTTAGTCGCACAACGGCAACACTGATTGTACATGCCACAAACTGGATTATAGTTGTGGGAACAGGGATTGGTACATGGCACACGCGTTGTTGTCGTCGCCGCAGCTGTTGTTGTGCTTGCCGCTGTACTCGTCGACTGCTCGTAGGGCAACGAGACTAAGCCCAAAAGTGCAAGAGCAATAAAATGCGCATCCTGATGAATTTTTTGTTTTTTTCGTTTGTCTGAAATTAAGTGCAAGTTGAAAGTTAGCACACGCACCTATAGGAAGTGTAAGTTCAACTACATATATTTGGGTTTTTTATACTTATGCACTTGTTTACATTACTTGAAGAAAGCTAATGAGAATTTGTTATTCGATTTTTATCCAACTGCGCAAATAAAAAGCGCTCTAAACGCATAAAAGCTGCGTACTTCTCGGGTAAATACAGAATTCAGTGGTAAATATTGTTTGTGCATTTCGAATAATTTCACATTATTTCGCGAGGAAAGGTTCGCTTAACTCTCCTTATTTGGCATAAAACTTTTGTCGTTTTGGACCGAAATCAAAAAACTACGCCGGTTTTCTTTTCCCACTGACAGTTTAGAAGCTCGTTAAAACCAGCCGGTTAAAAGATATTATCTGGAAGATCTAATTCGAACTACTACAGTGTGTCAATTCGTATACTTTGCGCTTCTACAAAATCTCGGAGACGGTAGATTAACAAGGCAATTCGGGCCAAGATAGTAAAAAGTTTTTAGTAAGACAAATGAAAGACAGATGGCAAGATAGCTCGAGAGACTTCTAGCAAAAAAAGTCTTAGAAAAAAAGCTCTTTCATTCACCACTCGTGATGAAAAGCTATTTTGGGAGAAAGCACTTGTACATCATTTAGCTTGCTTCGCTCCAATAGTTGCAATGGCCGAGTGAATAGCACAGTCGTGCCGTTCGAGAGTTCCGAATTGGAGCATCGGCAAACGGACTTTTTTGTTTTTTTTTTGTAATTTTTTTTTATTTTTTAATTACATATTATTATTTTTTTCATTTATAGATGTTATTGCTTAAAAAAATATGTATATATTTTTTTTTTATTTCATTTAATTTTTGGAAACTTATTTTATGTATTTTTTTCTTCTTTAATTTATTTCGCCTTTATTAATTTAATTTTGTTTTAATTTTTATGTCATTCTTTTAAAAAGAAGAATATTTTTTTTTTTAATTTCATTTTAAGGTACTAATTTTTTCTTAATAAATATATTTTTAACTTCATTTTCCTTTAATTCTTAGATTTTATTTTTTTTTTAAGAAAAATGTAAGTTATTATTTCACTTAATTTTTATTATCTTTCTTAATTTGTTGTCTTTTTTAATTTAAATATATTTTAGTTTTTAGATTTTGTTTTAAATATAAAAATGTATTTTTTTTTTATTTTCCTCTTTTTTTGGTTTACTTTTTTTCTAATTTAATTTTTGTGTCTATCGTTTTAACAAAATTTTTTTGTTTAATATTTTTATTTATTTATTATCTTTTAATATTTAAAAAAAAATATATATATATATGTAATTTTTTTAGTTCATTGAATTAAAAAAAAATATTGCATACTCAAAATTTTTCTAAGAAATCTACATAAAATTTCGAAGTTTACCAGAGGCCATACTGGATCCGCCATTTTAAATTTCACATTTATGACGGCGGATCCGTAATTAGCGATCCCAAAATTTCGAATCATTTCTTTAAAGCTTCGAATTTTGGCCGCACTGCGCGTCATAACAATTTAGGTGCGTGCAAATAACATCTGTCAGATACATGCTTATTTCGGTGCGACGGATGCCATCAGCACGAGTGCATAATAGGCGTGATTAATTATCTTATCGTTTTTTATTACAAAGCAAGTCAAAAGCCAGTTATTTGCATATCTTTATTATTTTACATTTATAGTTATAGTGGTGGTTGATTTAGCTTCTCGTTTTGCTATCTAGAGACAGCCGCGTAGCTTCATAGATGTTTCTATGCTAAAACCTAGTACTGCATAAGTACTACCCTGTAGGGGCACCAAGGAAGTCGATCAGTCTCATTTCGTTATCGGATGTTTCTTCATAGAGGCTGAAATTTCTGACGGTGGGCCAAAAGATCCCTTCCTGCCGCACCCTGGAATTGAAGTCGCTAAGCAGAATTTTGATATCGAGACGGAGGAAGCGATCGTATGTGCGCTCCAAGCGCCCAAAGAAGACTTTCTTGGACGCCTCATCCATCTCTTCCGTTGGGGTGTTGGTGCAAATGAACAAGTTTTTGAAGAATCTCGCTTTTATGTGGTCTGTAGCCCGTCGACTGGGTTCAACGACAGTGCTCGGCAACAGATTCTCTCTTCGACCAGAAGTCCAACATACATAGTTCATAGAAATTTTTGGATGACGGCGAAATCAGCCTTCGTATTTTTGAGGACATCAACCGGCCTCACAATGTAGTCCTTTAATCATTTTCAGTGGCCTAGGCTTCGTTGTTCTTTTGAATAGAGTTTGTTTAAAATGATGGGCCCCAAGCCCAGCGCACTACCCATTGCTGGGAGTTTGCCTTCTCACATTAACTCGTTACCAAATGGGTGCTCAGTTGCTGTCCAGAGGTGTAAACACCGGAAGTTGTGGGCTGCAACAAAAATCATTTTGGCCATTTCCTAGCGATGGCCAATTAAAAACTTGCCCACATGCAGGGCGTTCTGGACCCGAAACCATCCCCACACACTAGTTTATAAACAGCTCATTAAATTAAACTTTGAACGAGGTCTCGCAAAGCTGATATCGCCGACGTCCACGTTGCGTCCAGCGCTGCCACTGACAGTGAAATAGGCATAGTGCATCGGATTAAAACACAGCGGCTCCAAAAATATACAACGCAGATCGCCATCCTGGTAACAGAGGAAGTGGAGCGCATTTGACATTTCCAATTTGCGCCAGTTGGCACAGAAAAGAACCGACTGGCGTACTTTGTTGGACTCGGCCACAATCGCTTAGGCAGTTACAGCGCTAATCAAGAAAAAGAAATAGACTTACGAAATTTTGGCTTCTAATCTTGGATGTAAATATTTACACGCACTAGAACAAATACAACTAAACCCATAAACTTATTATGTCTACATCTGGTATCGCTTACTGTCGAATGAGCCATATGCAAATACGAATTGTGTTTTAGTAGTCAAAACATATTTATTTGTTTGAGATAAAAATAAAACAAATTCACACCATTTAGCAGAAGAAATTTACTGAGGAGAAAATAAGCAAATATGTACGTGTATACAAACATAGGTATCGCAATATTTATCATACCGATAACATTTGGAGATGTGTTTTTCTATATGCTATGAATATTTATATATGTATATGACAAAATGCCAATAAATAAAAGGACAAATATGTGTGTCGGATAAAATTTTAGCTTGCATATTGATAAATATATCGTTAAAATAATCGATAGATGTAAACATTAATCTATCGATGAATTTAACAAAGTTTAAATCTAGTCCTATAGGATGAACTTTACAAACAGTATCCATAAATTTGTCGCCTAGATCAATGGAGTTTCCTACAGGGCAGGGTCAAGTCAGGCTTTTAACCATGAAATGCTAAGCACTGGGCGGAGTTGACTCTCCCATCAGTTATGTTCTTTCATGATGAAACAGCAGAGTACTTTACCTGCTGAAAAACAAAAGCTTTGATGCTCAAACCAACACGGATGACGCTGTCGTCCAAGCCAGAGACTGATTCGAAGAAACACTTTCAATTATTCAGCATAGTCGTAAAAATAGTGTCCTCATCAACTTCTTTAGAAAAAGAATATGGAGGGAACTATAAAAAGGCCTATAAGTTCATAAAATCTAAGCTCGCAATCTGGTTACATGAAACTTTATAGGTTTAAGACGATGGAAGTGAAACCGGCACAGTCCAAAGTCAACGAACTCTAAGGACTGCTCTGCCTGAGTATCTGCCTGCTCGAGATCTACTAAACATACCCCCTCTAGCTTCCAAACTTAAAGCAGAGAAGCTTTTCCTTTTGTAACAACTATTTTCAGGAAGAAATGTGGACCGAGGTATGCGTGTCTAATTTGCCATCCAAGATTCAACTTTGAGCACAATTTTAATGCCTTCTTTCCAAACAAATTTGATTGGAAGGACCGAAGTCTTGGAAGGCTAGCCATTTCAATACCTTATTTCCAAGCAGATCTGCGTGAGAAAGGTAAAGGCCTTAAGCTGGCACACCGATGACGAAAAGACCGACCATGCCAACAGTGCAGTGGACATTGGTTTACAATCAAGAAAACTGCTATTCACCAGCATGACTAAAGGCAACTCTTTATGCCAGGTCAACGTGCTAGAGCTATCTCTAACACAGTAGGTAGGTTCGCTTACGAAAAGCAAAGCGACGTTCTACGCCTACAAAGTACACGCAAAGTTACTACCATGTTGTTGAATTGTGATTAGGCATTAGAAAGCCTCGCATCTATCGGTTCTCGGTTGCAGTAAATGCATGGGACTTCAAGCAACAGATGTTTTTTTCCGCCCTTTCGGACTGACTGAATAATATTATACCTAACAGCAGAGCCACTGTGGAGTTTTTACCAAACCTAGATATTCCGTTTTCGTAGTCCTAGGAAATTGACGCATTTCTTAAGGGATCATCCGAGGTCCCAAATCATAACAGCGTGGATAAGCAAAGACACAGGTTTTGAATTGAAAGTTGTAACAACATGTCTAACTCAGGTTGCAGCGACAAGCTGACTTTCTACCTCCTCTAAGAGTAATATAATCTACTAACGTTCCGCTTAATTTCGATAAGGCAACGAAGTGACAATAATCTCTGAATGTGTTTGCCCTTTTGTCATTTTAATGCCTAGTGCAAATCCGGCATTATGCTACATTACTACATAATTACGAAGAGTTTCGCATATTGAATATGCGTCAGAAGCTCGAAGAGGTGAGCGACCGAAAAAAATACAACAGACCTAGGTACACACAGATGCTTTTTTATGATACATAGATTATGTATTTAAAGAAATTTATGTGCGGAATTTTTTTTTTTTTTTTTTAACTATCACTATTGAAATAAATTGCCTCTACTCGGGATAGCTATCTTAATACATACTCGCCTAGGATAGGCATAGTGTGATAAGTACTTAGTGTATTATTTACGCAGTTGTATGAAAACTATAAACAAGTTCTCATCCGCTTTCTTCGGTTTATAAAGTAAGTAGAGATAAACGTATAAAAGTCCAAAAGTTTTGCCATTGTAGCATAGTTTCACTAACGCCACGTCTAAGTGCGTTTATTCCCGAATATCAAAGAAAGAAGAAAACACAAATTAAATCAGGATGCGTTTCTTATTGCTATTGTCACTTTTGGCCTTAGTCTCGTTGTCCTACCAGCAAACGTCTAATAGCACAACTGAGGCATCCACAACCACAGCAGCTGGTGGAAGTTCGAATACAACAGCAGCAGAATCGACAACAACAACGGCGGCAACGTCAACCACTCTGGTACCCTGTACCAATCCCTGCACGCACGCCTATAAACCAGTTTGTGGCATGTACAATGGCAAAAAGCGTACTTTCGAGAATCTTTGCATTTTGAGAGCGAATAGACGTTGTGCCCGCAAACGAGGTACTTTGGGTAAGTGTAGAAATTTATAAAAGTTTAAGAAGTATATTTTTACATTTTTTCTTAACTATTTCTTCATTAGCACGCCTTGGCATACGCTATTTATATGATGGAAGATGTTAGGCTACCCGTTGTCACAATAAGTTGTTGAAGAAATAGCCGAACACGAGGCTTCAAACTGTGTACTATTTTCAAATAAAACATAAAATTAAAAAAAAAACATGTCTACAAATTTTAAGAATTTAATTGGCCAGCAATTGGGGTACTCCAGAAGCTACCTTTCAGGATATGGTTCTTAGTCTCTACTTGCATTATTTTTTCCATTAACTATGTATATATATGTCAGTTTTTATGCCAATGACCCAATAATTTTCGCCACCGGTTGCTTTGTCTTCATTTTCGGGATATGTATTTCTCTGCTTTCTACTTAGGTTAACGTTTAGAACACACGCTCGCGCAATAAGACCGAATAAAGCTGTATGGTTCAAACAAATCTTTGCAACCCCACCTCCCATGATATTGCCACTATTTGTGAAGCTTCTGCCTGCCTATACCACGATCATTTTTGCTCACTTTTGTCTCATGTGATTAACTTTTCGGCTGACGTAATTGCTCCTTTCGAAAATTCCTCGATTATGATTCATTTCGGCAGCGATTCTCATTTTGAAACTCCTAGGAACTCAAATATCGAGCATATGCAGGCGATGTAGTGATTATGGCCACCGATTGATCTCTTCATTAAGAAAAATACTTCACAGAGTGCCCTGAGGTTAAGAGAACTTAGACTATGGAAAGAACGTACTAACGGGCATGAACGTATCCTTTACTCCTTTAACGACCTAAGCATTCGCAAATAATCTGACTGAATTTATCCTTCACTTCTTTCAAGAAAACCTTCCAATGTTTCCGCCAAGAAAGAAGTGGAATGAGCCTCTTTTTTATAAACCCTTCGAAGTATCAATTTTTACGGACGGCACAAAAATGGATTTTGGCATAGGGTGGCGGCAATTTTTTTCACCGGCCTCCAAATCGAAGAGTCTATTCGACTACCGAAATCGGCCAGTATTTTTCAGTGTGGCAGAGGTCTGTGCCATCAAATAAGCATGCAAAATAATTTTTGGCTCGAAGTTAGCAGGGACCAGCTTTTCTATTTTCTCGGATAGCCAGGCAGCGATCAGGGCACTTGCACCTATAAGCATCACCTCCAGCATAATAAAACAGTGCAGAGAGAACGTTATGGCTTTAGGTGACAGACATGTCGTTGCACTGAACTGGGTGCCGGGACACAGCAGAATTCATGGTAATGAAATGGCTGACAAGCTAGCCAGGAACGGGTCGGTTCTGGATGTCTCAGAGGCTGAGTACATTCTTGTGCATCGGAGCTATATCAAGGGCCGCATCTGTCAGCACTAGAAAAAGTTGGCTAATAGAAGGTGGAAAGACCTACAATCCTGTAGGGTCTGCAGGAGTCTGTGGCAAAACGCGCTGCATTTCTTATGGAACTGAACGGGAGGGACCCTGGGCCGTGGGAGTCCATGCTGTAAGACTAAGACTGCAACACAACACTTCTTGTCATAGCTGTAATTCATCAGATGCAGAAGAAACAGTGGAGCACCTGCTCTGCGATTGCCCAGCACTATGTAGGACAAGAACCAGGCTTCTAGGCAAAAACTGCTACTGCGTTTTAACAGACATACGTGATATTTACCCACTGCAACTTCTTAAGTTCTTGGACTCCGCATGCTGGATTTGAGAGAAATAACAGACCAACCAACCAACCATAGCGATATCGGAGTGCCAATTTGCTTGTCTACGCTGATATTTGGAAGACTTTGTCAACGGTTGACCGAAAGAGCCCGGAAGACTCAGCTTTAACTTCGAAAAGTAGCGAAACCAGTTTCGTAAGCAAATTTGGCGCTCATTTTCCCTCAGGCACCCACCATTACCATAAGTCCCATATCATTTTCGACGATCTTGTACTGCATTTAACACTTTTCGGTATAATTTGCTGAATCTCCAACTCCAGAGTAAAATTACTTATGACTAATAACTCGTTACTACCCTGTCTGATCCTTCGTGATATCTATACCTCAGCAAAATCCTTGCTGTACCATTAAGCTCCTGCCATGCATACTTTGCCTCCGGTGCATTTGGATGAACCGTAATTCTGCGATTGGTCAGCAGGTATTGCTGGATAGTTCTTGAAAAGTTCGAGTGCTTTACAAGGACTTCAACGCAGCTGGCTGTCACTGCAGACACTAGTCTGGTGTCCGCGCTACCTCCCACCAAGTATTTGTAGCCATGACCTCCGAGGTAGCACTACATGTCATTGTACCTAAAGCAGAAAAGCATCTTACTATCTGGGCGTTGTTGTCATAATCAATTTTGACCGTGCTCAGCCAAGAAAGTATTTGGTTGTCGCTATTTTTTTCAGGACGATTTGGAACTGGATTTCTAAGCCAGGGACTTCCTCAGATGGCGCTTACCCGCTAGGGAGGAGAATGTTATTCGCGCCTATCACAACGAACTGGAATGACTTTAGTCTTATGCAAAGATCAGGAGCGTACTTACTGCTCTGACTAGGTGCCGTCAGAGATGGGAAGTACCCAAATCGGTGTTTACTAGTATCACTTAATTATATCGTTTAGATTGCATATTTTTTAGGCACTTGCTTGGACAAGTTTTTTTTCACATCGTTTTTTTTTTTCGAAAAGCCGGTATAAAGGCAGACAAGAAAATATACAAAAACACTTATCAGAACAAAGCTTATAAATAGGTAAGAATATAAAAAAAAAATCCCCAAAGTATTTGTCTGGCCTTTTCCGTATAAAGACGTGTATCTCATTATTTAGTTTAGGGCCGGTTACCGACTCCCTGTTATATGCATGGAGACGAAAACGTCGATAACGATGTTTAACCGCAGATTAGTGTTAACCAGACATTGAGTAACCGGCCCTTAGTCTCACATGCTCGGCTTTTAGCCTTTTAGCTAAACAAAGATACATTCATTATTAAATGGAAGAGGAAATTTTACTGATTCTTATTTATTTTAATTTTGATGTAGAAAAACTTTGTACTTATTTGCTCTTTTCTTAAGAAAAGCTATCTTCGCTGTTAATAGTTTTATTGTATTTTTTGGTCGACTTCATACCCAGATAAGCACTTTCACTGTATAAAAACTATGTAAAGTAAAACCGGTTTATCCGTTTTTTTTTTCTTAGTTTCTCGGCAATCGGTTTTTTTTCAAACTGCAATTTTTAGAATTACCCGAAAAACGGTTTTGAAAAAAGGCGAATAATTGACTACTGTAGTAGATACTGTGGGAATAATGTATTTAGCTTTCCGCGCTTACGAATTTTTTTTACCATCCCCTTTTCTGACATGTCGGGATGGTGGTTCGTTTCAAAAAACAGCATTATTGACTACAGTAGAACCGTAAAAAGAATTACTTCAATAATATTGTGTTGTGCTCTTTCTTAACCGCCAACATCTGCCTTTGGGCAAAAAGTTGATAAGCGGCCGACATGCGAGCCTTAATTACATGAATTTCTAGTGATTTAGTAAGACTTCGTCTAGAGGCTCCGTCCTTGGTGTATTTATCTACTCCCATCACTTCATTTACAGTTAAAAGTTTCTATAGATCTCATTCCAATGATAGCGCATACATATGTACATGTAGTGGGCTTCCTTTCCCCGGTGGCCGCAGGTACATATACCTTGCTAAGGAAATATTGAACTATCTTTACTCACTTTGTCGGGTAATACACATCGGGTAATACATATGTATGTATGTGTTATACTCTTGAGTGGCGTCGGCCTAAAAACTTCCCGTCGACTCTTCAACTTTCCGATTTTGGGGCAAAGGAAAGAAAAGGAGTGAATCTGAATGTAAAAGTTTCGATTGAGATAAGATACTTATGGCGTTGACAAAGAGATACCTTCTTAGAGTCATTCCGCAACAAATGTAAGCATTATCTTTTAAAATTTCAATTTTTATTTGAGCTTTATAAAAAGACATCTTACAAAGGACTCCAGTTTTGAGTTGCTTCATACTCGTATACACTTACTTACATACATACGTTACTAACTTTAGTAGACTATTGACTATTCGTTAAGATACAACTGCGCAAAGTTTGTCAAGATAGTGACGATCCAGCTATCGAAAAACAAATATGTATATACATACATATTTACATAAGTTAAATAGCACTAAATAAAAAAAAGTTAAACAAACTAAAATTTTTATGATTGAGGTGATTTTACACGTTACTTCTGAGGTGCATACTACCACTCTTTCGGACCTCGGTTCCAGCGTTCCCACGACAGTCGGGTCTGCGTAACCGGAACGACCCAGATTTATATTTGGCCAAGCACTGTCACTCCAGCAACACTCCCCAAAACCAGAGGACCGAGCAACATCTAAATTAGAAAAAGCCTTTTCTAACAGCGAACGCCGCTCGATAGGCAATGGGAAAACTCCGATTGTATTTCTGTCATGAGAAAGGTTCTCATAGTCAATTTGTCATTCGGAGCCGGTGTGAAACTATAGATCCTAGATCCTATGTCTAGCATCATCAAGATACACACCCCAAAATAGAGAAGAAGCTCGACCAAATACCAAAGTTTAGCCTTCGAAATATTATTATCATTAAAAAAGAAAAACCTTCCGCCGTATAGGAAACATCACCTATTCTAAAACTGCTTCCGCATTACTTCAGAGTGGCCTTGTACATATGTACATATGTACATATGTCTCTAATTATAAAGCACTATCGATCTCATTCCCACCGAGGTGCCAATGTTTCGTTCGGAGTAACTTTTCCACGAAGTTATTGTCTCCACCCAAGGGTGTGCGGGATATTATTCATTCATTCTTCTTGGTTGCGGTATCCGACTCTGCTTATAGTATTCCTCTTCTTACTTGAGCTGCGATGTCTCCAGGAGTTATATTACTTATCACTAAGAAGTGCAGTGTAGTCGAAAACCTTACGATATAGCAGGTTCAACTCACTACTTTTAGGTAACCCGAAAGTCAGCTCCAGCTCAGATCTCAACAACCGCAAAGTAATTCTCCCTAGACTTTTTTTGTGCCACCAGTAGTAGTGTTTCCAACTTTGTCTTTGTAATCATCACGGTCTCATAATCTTCTTCGTTTGGGTTTAGGCTCGGT